CACTGAGAGGGACTTATTGATACTACCAGCCTCCTAGTAATAATAATAATATTAATAATGTTCAATAATTAATGTATTAATAGTTACTTTTAATCTTATTCCATCAGTAAGAGTGTCCCTCTGTCTCTCTGATCCTGCCAGATCAATTAAATTCAATTTTGAGCTCCTGATCTTACACACTTCATCATCACCCTCCTATTAATAAACCATCATTGACCACGCCCCTAATACCTCCAGTGACCACACCCCTAACACCTTCAGTGACCACACCCCCTAATACCTTCAGTTTAGATTCCACTGATAGCATGAAGACTGCATGGCTCCTACTGCTCTTTCTGTTCATTGAAGTACCAGCAACACGTCTGTTAGTATACCCTCTCAGTAATACCTAGGATACCATTAGGATACTATCAGGATACTATTAGGATACCTGGTATGTCTCGGTTGCCGTGGTGACTATTTCTTCAACAATCCCATCAACATACACTCCTCTTTTAATGCTCTCCCTCAAATGTAAACAAACAAACAAACAAACAATTAAGGACAACAAACAACAAGCAATTAATAACCATTAATTAATAAAAGGATATGTAGTCCTTGGTTTGATTGGTCCAGTAGATCATAAATCTGTTCATTGTATATTTCAATGAATGAACATTTACACAAGAACTGGACCATATCACCAAACTAGAGGAGGAGGAGGAGAGAGAGATAACAATTATTAGTAATACACCACATTACAGTGGCTTTATGTATCGGAAATTGTAATAAAAATTTGATGCAATTTCAGAACCATTTTTTTTGGAAAAAAAACCATGGGCTAAAGCCTTGGGTATTTTTGAAAATGTTGGCGTTTTCTTAAAATGGTCGTAACTTGAAAAATTGAAGTACACGGAATAACCTTAAACTTTCTACACAGCATAAGAAGGTCAATATGGTGTTATTTCAATACCTTTTGTCTCTCTCTATTTATTAAACTAAATAAATATTCAAAGCTCCTTGGAATGACTCCTCTGTACTCATGAATGTATCCATCACTCCCTTCATCAGAGGGACCTACGAGTAACCATAGCAACGGTAACTATAGTAATGGCAACTAAGGAGTGACGTACCTATCATTGTGAATGTCTTACCTGAACCAGTCTGACCACTAACAACAACAACAACAACAACAATAATAATAATAATAATAATAATAATAATAATAATAATAATAATAATAATGTTAATTAATATTCATTATTATTATTCTTACTATGCAAATATAGTTCCATTGTATCCCTGCATACAACCATCAATGATTGGTCTGCCAATTAATGAGAACACTCCCTCCTAATGGAAATATATACATTTAATTAACAAGACGAGATACAAATGTATATGTATAACCAGTCAGACCAGTTTTACCTGTGTAGTGTTGTGTTCCGCCACATGATCACAGGCAAGAGTAGATAATAGAAGAGAGTGTCCTACTGTGATATACCGCCTGCTTCATCACGTCGT